CCGGTATCCTCGAGAGCTTAGCCGTCGTTCTGCAGCGTCGCGACTGGGAAAACCCGTGCTTTCATGCGCGCTCTGTTGCAGGCAGCGTTCCAATTTGGGACAGTTCGACTCCTTACCAGTTCGAACTTGTAACAGTTCGATTCTGTCCGCGTTCTGTTCTGGTACGTGTGCGAAAAAAGGACTGTTCTGAATTGAATCTGTTCGATTTTAGGTCTGTTCGATTTTGAAAACGTTCGAATTCGTCGTACCCCCGAAAATTGAATTCGAATTGACTTCAAAGTTGATGGTTACTTATATATTTTAGTTGAGGTTCTATGTCGCAGAAACCTAACTGGTCGGAAAATTACCAGATTGTTTTTGTAGGTTGAACTGTAATTTGTAGGTTGAACTGTTCACTAGTTTTAGAAATCTTCGACAGCTTTTCGTAATTTCTGACCAGTGTAGGTTGATCATTCGTTATGAATTCCTAGCGTATAGATTAAAACGTTAACCAATCATTTCTCATTTATAATCTTTCCATCGTCTCGTCTTACCCCCACTTGCTTCTTAACACGTACCCCACTTGCTTATTATGTTGCAAGAAATCTCTGGAAGGCGATCAAAACATTCAATATATTCGAAATTTATGACTTATACTTCTAAGGATTTTTTAATAATAAAAACTACTTTGAAGCATTTTTGTTTAATTTTGGATTTTCTGACATAGTTTTTAGATGATAATGAGCGGAGTTCATAATGTCGAATCACAAGATTTGCACTACAACTTTACAAGGACTATTTTACGACAGGGGCAACCTTTTGTTCCCAAAACACCTCTTGGAGGGCCCCTGTAATACAGATTTTACAGCAAAAAGATGTCGGTGTAGAAAACAAAGTGACTGTCACTCGTATTCAGCTAGGAACTGTAATTTTGACAGACGTTATGGTTGGATTGAAATTTCTGTGATCATGATAAGGTCCCAAACTTTGTGAGTTTGTCAAAAAAAAAAAATACTTATTGCGTTCACAGCTTAATAAATCATAGGACCTTCGAATTTTTTTGTCATTTTGTCTGCTTGGAAAATTTTGTTGATAACTAATCTTGGGCTCTAATCTTGGGCTCTTCGAAATCATTACTCCGACATTTTCTTCCAAACTTTTTGCTGGCCTTACTCCTATAAAGCACACTTCTCACTTTGTTTAATATACACATTTTTCTACCTTGAACTGCTGATGGATTTATTGATGCACTTTACCGGAGATCTAGATCGTTTTGTGATGCTCTTCAAACATACAGTACTGGAGCCAGCTAGTCAGTAAAAAAAATGAATTAAACAGTTTGTTAGGGTTGTTTTCTCTAGTCGCAGTTTTTCCTGAATCGGCATTAATTTAGTTCCTTGTTCTTCAAAGTTTACGTCTTATGTGAATAGTCACAGGTATCATCCATCAACCCTCATGAAACCCGCACATTTTGATGTTCTTTTTTCTTAACGCCACCGCGATTGCGCTCTGCTGGACATGGACGTTCGAGAGCACACAATAACAAAGGACCATCCTCGCATGGCAAAAAGACGGGACTGTGTTGCCTGCGTCTCTTCTATTGTTTTTTTATTCATCACTCAGCGTTGACCTCTGCATTCTAGTGCGGGATGCGTTGCTCTCACTTTTTTCTACTCTTTCTAGATCTAGAAAACACCACAGTTGTTATGTTATTAGGTAGTGATTTGCCGCCAAAATTTCTCATTTGAACAGCTAGAGATTTCAAGGGGAATAACATGTGGTAAATGTTTTTCCGCTGCTCTCACTGAACGATATACAACAACTCATTTTTTTAGACCCTTGTTTTTTATGTCAACTGAGTTTTTTTTTTCAAATTACTATCAACCGAAGACTCCTTCGAAGATCTGACATAACCTGAACAAGTCAGTATTTTTATAAAGTACGCTGGTTAGATTTTTTCACATTTTTGTGACAATAAGATGATTGCCTTCCATGTTTTTTATGACATATTTTAATTGAACTGAATCCGATGATAAGTCAGCCACTTCCTTTTTTGTTTAATGTTGTTTCTGTGCCTTCTCTTGGTTTTTTGAACGTTTCTATATGTCAATTTTTTGAGTTCAAGGGATTATTGGATTTTTGTGATAGATGCTCGTTTTCCCAGATTAGATTTGTATTGCTTTGAAAAAACATCGAAGTGTCGCTCTTAAATAATTTGTAGGAAAACCCTTTTAGCACATTCAATTTGAGTAAAAATGTATTCTGTATACGATAGTGATACTATCTGTGAGTTGTTTCCAATCGAAACGCTCAATCTTTGTCAATCATCTTGTTTTTACATTTCCAGCAAGACTTGCGTGTTTACTTTGTGTTTACTTGCGTGTTTGTCGGTATTGGTCCGCGTGCCGTGCGCATATCCAGTTGGCTAGCGTGGTACTCCGCACGGTTACCACCACTCGCGCGTCGCATCACAACGCAACACACACTGCGTACTTTCACAACGAGCAAGAAAAACGATAATAGTTAGGCCTGAAACAGAAAGTTTGTCTGTCATTCTTTTGTTGAAACACTGATTTATTTTTAGCATTTTCTCTGAGAACCTTATTATCTTTTTTTGCTGCTAGATTCATTTTTTGTCCGCTGTTGTTTTGATAGGTGATGCTAGATATCATAGGCTCTCAGTCAGGAAGTTCTATAGTTTTTCGAAGCAAAGTTTTTTATTGGGATACGAATTTTAAAAGACAATAGATAATTATTCTCTAACGTAGTACATTAGCCCTTCGAGCAGGAAACAGTCTCTCCTTAAAAAAACTGATCACGTTTTTTGCCTGGCGGTCCAATTTTTTTGTAAAAAAATTAGCTTTTTTGCAATATCTCTTTCATCTGCAATTCAAATATTTATATAGACACTTATCTTACGATCTTTGAATCAAAACATTTGGCAAAGCCTCGCGTTCTGTCCAAGAGACACAGTGTATGTACTTTTTCGACATTGAGAATTACGATTTCCTGTGAACATTGTCTTCTTTCTATGGTCTTTTTTCTCGTCTTCCTTACACTATTCTCCATGTCACGAACGAAAAAATGTTCAATCGTATTTCTCTCAATGTCTATGTCTCTACGTTTTTTTCTCGATACGAAAAACTACTCTGCTCTCTTTACTACACTATTTTTCTCACTTCCACACACTGCACACTAAATAACTACTGCTTCTCCTTTTCTCCGGCTGCTCCTTCTGAAAATTATTTTTTAGAATTCTTCTGTTGAAAAAATTATTAAGCAAGAAAATTCCACAACAAAAATTTTTACATTTACAGCCAATATGAGAACGAGAAGTCAATTCCTTGAAACATCGTCATCATCATCAGATGACACAACCGAAGAAGTCGAGAAGCACACATTCCTTGCTGATGTCAAAAATCAATCTTTCGTCGATCCAAACGAAACTATCCGCATTGAAGGGCATCCCGATTTTTACCATTCAAGTTATGATACCAAGTAAGTAGTAGTTTGTGCGCTTTAATTGTTTCTGCCTTGAATCCACATTTCTAGTGGCACACAAAAAATATGATGCCGTAAAAACTGTGATATATTTTTTAAGAAATACTTTGAAAGGCTACAAGGTAACCATAATTGTGAACTGAGCCTTTTCCGGGCTTTCGCGGGCTCTGCCGTAACATTTTTTCTAAAATTTAAAATTTTGGTCTAACTGAAAAATCTGTAACTTTGTCCATAGACATGCTACAGTTTCGTAATCAATATTATTGTGTAGTATTAGGTTGGTCCATAAGTTTTTTCCGATTTTGGTAAAATTTTTGATCAAATTTTTCTCGATGCTAGATTAATTAAAGTAATGTCTATAAGCACCATTCCATCGGCGCAGAACGAGGAGGGCTGCGATTGGAAAAGTGAGTGAACTCCTTTTTGAAGGCATCTTTTCAATCGAAGTCTTTACTATCGAGATGGGGCTTCAGAGCCTTGAACGGCTACTCCTCTGAAAGGCCAAGGCCCGGAAAATACGATTGGTGCAAAAGAATAGTTCAGCCAAACGACATGAGTTTTTGGCTGATGCCTCTGGTGACAGGCGATGTCGCACTGTCGTGTTGGAAATAAACACTGTCTTTCCTCCTTATTTCGATTCGACTGCCAAATTCAATTTCTCTAATTATGAACTATAAGTGTCGGTCATCATATTGGTACATTCATCTAAAAGTTCCCAGTCTCCACTCCTTCGACAGATTGTCAAACACATAGCATACCCATTTTCATGGAAAATTTAGGTTACGGGACGTCCAGAGCTAGCTGTTCTTTAGCAAACAACTGACCCTTCGGCATATTGTTAGAGTAACTTATTCACTTCTCATTTGAAGTAATTTGATTATTCGCCCAACTGAACGTGTCAAGAAATGATGGGGAAACATGCTTATGTCGACACAGCGATCCATTTCGTCGTCCTTCAAAGCATAGGTTACGAATCTATCTAATTTTTGACACCTCCAAGATTCCTCAATCCGATCACAATACTTGGTTGACTAACTGACAATGCCTTTGGCATTTTACAAGTGGTTTGAAACGGATCTGTTTCATTACTATTCTTCAATAGGTCCAAGTACAACTTCCGGACCGAGCTTCGGCTTCCAGTTCTAACATTTTGGCTTCAAATGGATCGGTTTCATGCTTGATGGTAGGAGTAGTAAAAGATCCCTCTTCATCTTTTTTTTTTTCATTTTCTTGTGTATAACATGCCTCGTTCAGCCAGGAAGGAATAAAAACAAAATGACATTTTGAGAGAGTTGATGGTAAGGACCGAAAGCAAGCGGCATGCTCGCGAACGACAAGAAGGAGGAATAAGACAAACTGTGTACAGAAAGTTCATGAGATGCTCTATCTAACAAAAAAACATCCACCGAGAAATATAGTCCCAATGGCCAGATATGAAACTTCAAAGTTGAGCATTCGAAATTGAAAGAAACTTATGTACCAACGTAATACTTGTTGAGGTCAATCATATCTATTTTAGTTGGTCCTAACATTTTGATTCTGAAAAAAACTTTCGCAGGACCCGAACACGTCCTGTTTGAAAGTTTGATTGTGACAAAAAGGGTGGCGTTGTATTAGAGGTTGTGTTTTATCACAAACGACGTCATTACAGTTTATACGTCATTTTGTTTTTGAGCTTCAAAACAATCATTCTAAGTAATAATTGAAACAAAAAACTTTCAGTGGTGTGGCAGATCTTCCCGAACTTCTGGGTTGTGGACCAGATGACAAGGCCTACATGGAAAGAGAAGATCAAGGGGTGGTCATCTTCCCAGCTACCGACACCGACAGTCTACAAACACACGAAGAATTGAAACAGCAACTTTTTCAATGGTCCCCACTGCCACTTGAAACAGTGAGTATCGTATCAAGCATGAATATTCTTGTTTTAATATTTTCAGACTCTGCAACTTTGGGCTCATTGTTCTTTTGATGTTTTTGATACATTGACACTGGCTGCTAAACTCCTCGAGCCACAGCTTCTGCCATCTTACGTGAAAAGTTTCTTCCAAGCAAATATCACTGGAGAACGCTTTTATCAGTTGAACAAGAAGCATGAAGATATTCGACGTTTTCACTTTGCTCCCATGGTAAGCGGCATAATGCCAATCTGACATGAGAAATTTTTTATTTCAGTTTGATAAGATCGTGGACAGCAAAACATTGGTAGATCTTTATTACAAGGAAAAAAACAAACAAACCCCTGACTGGACATTTGAAGCAGACAAAGAGTGGAACGAAGAGGAAATGATGGCGTTGGAAAAAAGAATGGCGAAGTCGAAAATTCGAATCATAACGTAAGACTACTTCATAAACAAAGTACTGACAACACATCGAATTTTCAGTGTCGATCCTGCGAGTTGTAAAAGAAAGCGGGTTGGTTGCAAAAAGCGATCACCATTAGCTGTGAAGAGAATCAAATCTGAAGAACCTTGGTCATAAACTATTGAATAATCTTCTGTGTTCCTTGATTTCATTTTCACATCATCGTTTTCCTTTTCCCAGTTTGTGATCTCTCCCGATTCTCACTATAAATGCTTTTCAATCATAGTTTTAGACTCTATAGTTCATAAAGAGATAGTGTCATGTTTTGCTTTCAGATACTCAATTTCCCCTGTTTTACAGCCTGCATTTAGTTTCTTTTTTCCTTTGCTGCCCTACACACCACCTTTCCTAGTTAAAAAATGTGTCTTTCAACACAATCAATTTCTTTCCATATTCCTCTTCCTGCTTTCAACCTGAAACCGTGATGGTTATTCACACGAGTACATTTTCACCTCTCCTTTTTCTGGTTTTCAACCCTCTGCAACTTTCTTCTCTACAGAGTTTTCTCCGAAATCCCCGGTCGCATCTTTCCCATCATAGAACCATTTTAAATCACGGCCCCATTCCCTAGATCGTGTATTTGCGTTTTTCTGATAAGTTTCAAAATGAAGAACAAATTCGTCTAAAGTTAATTTTGTTTATTTGCTTTCAATAATCCAAGAAGCTCTAATACATTTAAGACTTTTCCCAAAATTTTGATTTTTCGACTTCTCAAGATGTAAGAATCTCATAAACACAAAATCTCGTATATTTCTGAACCAGAGTGTGTTCTAGGAGATGGAACCGTGGCATTGTTGGGACCATGCTCCAAGAAGATCGCTCTTATAATTGACAACACATAGACAACGTCTTCTTGATATTACACATAAGTTATGAATTGAAACTTTTTCTCTATCCCCTCCGACCCAAATCGAATGTCTAATTTTGTCACGACGCTGCCTGGAGGTCACCAAGTAACAGTTCGAAAGCCTCCTCGAAGCTCCCCCACCAGCTCCCCTTTTCATTCTAACTTCAACTTTATATTTCTCATCTCATCAGAAAAATTCTCTCAATGCCGATATGGATTTCCTAAACGATATCCCAGTGGTTGTTACTCAGCCAGGATTTTCTCTAACTGAGTAAGCAAACGTTCAATCAGAGAAAGGAACATACACAAAACAATTCAATCCTTCAAACGTTTTTCAGCAATGTCCCAATCGTGACTACTGATATTCGAGAGCCAAAAAAAATCAATCTTATTCATCTTCTCTTACTTGGCTTCCTACTGCAATGCCTGCGTTCTTCTCTGGAACTGGATGAAGGAAAACGATCTCCAGAAACTGGATTCTGATGATAAATAACCATTTGTTTCAAATAAAGATTGGAACCTGTTTGTCTTGTTTCTTGTTTTGAATTGAAAAATAGAACATCCACAATTTATCCTACATATGAATGATAATAGAGTGCATCTAGCAAAACAGAGGTTCGTAGCTTCACAAGCTTCAGATATTGGTATTTAGGTCGTTCACGTCTTTCAGATTAGTCTTGTTTGAAATGTGAATGCATTTTTCTTCATATGTTTACCATGGGGTAGTTTCATATGCATTACATGCTTACTCGCAGCTTATTTCATTCCAACTATTACTTATGGCTACACGGATCACCCTGCAATTTTTGGAACTCCAAAGAAGCAAAAGGATACATTGCACAATAATTGTTTCATTGGAAGTATGAAAAACATTACGTTGCCCCCCTGATTTCGACGACACGTAGAACAATGATGTCAGTGTAGCATAATTAACAGAATTAATTCGTTTCACCCCGATGAAGATTGGTCCTGATTGCATGACAAAACTTCATGAAAGCACGGATATGTAGCGTTATTTTTTTTTTACTCAGTCTAATTATCCTTGACTTTTGAATTTTGAAATCTGGATTAGACTCAAGAAGACATCTTTGCATTTCATCGACAGCTCAATAGAATGTTGACGATATTTTCAACAGTAATTGTTTTTTACGTTCTAGTCGAGACCGTTGTGAATCAATATACCACACGATAGCCTTCATATCACTTTGTCTTTCTGTAATAATTCTAACTATAAAAAAAAATGTTGACATACTCGAATTGCATCAAATATTAGGGTGTTCAGTAAATAATGTCGTTTTTTTCGTGCACAATTTTCTCTGCGATGGCTCGTTCTAATATCAAAATTTTTTTGTTTCCTACACACCTAATCAAGTCGCCAAAATTCTCACCTAACATGTGTCATAATGTTCTCGGTTCTTCGAGGAGAAATCATGGAAAATAAGTGCATTTGGCTGCTTTTTAATAAGAACCCGTGCTCAGCCGAAATGCAACCGAGACAACCGAAAATATAAACCGTGCTTTTGCAAAAAGAGTGCTAACAAAAAACAGTACAACGATGGTTGACAGAATTCACATGTGGATATACACCTCTCGAAGAAAAAAAGGATCGTGGAAGGAATAATGAAGTGTGGTGGAAGGGGATCCTAGATCGACTGTCCGGGAACTTTTGGCAGCGCTTGGAGTCAGTATAGGAACAATTTCGAGACACATATAAAAATTGAGAATACAAAAAAAACAAGATAAATGGCTCTCTCATGAACTGAACAATCGCCAAAAATTGCAACATTACTCCAGTCTGCGAGATCATCGCATATGATAGACAAATGTTCATTTTTTGAATCGAATTGTGACGTATGATAAAGAAAGGTCGTTATACTACAACAGAATGCAATCAGTACCATATGTGGTTGAAATCCAGAAGGTACAACATCTCACAAAGCCAGAAATTCACCAAAACAAGGTTATGGTGACTGTATGATGACGGGCTTTTAGTTTTTTTCATTATAACGTCCTGAAAAGAAGAAAAGCTAACACTGCGGTTTTCAATAGTCAAAAAATTGAAAAAATTTGTTATCCAAATTACGTGCACTGGTCAAAAAAACTGGCACAGTCGACAACAACTCCATTTCACATGTTGCAATCATGACGGCTCAAAAACCGAATACGTTGGGTTAAAAAACTACTCAATTGATTATCACATTTTCAAACGTCTTTATAACCTCCCCAGAGAAAACCAGTCCATTAAAGACGACTATGCAAAAAAGGCTTTCTTAGGTTTCGTTACTTCCTGGCTTTCTGGTTTCTATCATCATGTAATTTTCAAATTAGTATATTGTAGGTCAAAAAGTACTGATTCCAATGGTACATAGTTTGTTTGATGAACATTTTTTGTTTGATGAACACACCAAAAAACGACATTATTTACTGAACACCCTAATAGAACTTTACCTTCTCACATCCCTTCATTATTCATTTCAGCTACAGTTTACTTTACCCGCTAAATGAACTGTCTTTTGGAAAATCTCACAAAGATCATCAATAAAACCTTGTCAAGGTCATCCACGTCGTTGAATATGGTTCGCACAGCGAGGCGGCGCTCAACCGCACAGATGGCGGGAAAATTTATTCGAACGCAGTCACCAGCGACCTAGTGCAACGTTAAGGGCAAAGAGGCAGAATGGTGGCTTTTCTTTTTTTTCTTTTTTCATTTACATCTATGTTTTCGATTCGGGCAGCTTTAGATTGAACGCTATTTCTCGTTTTCAAATTTGTTATTATAGTCTAGACAAAAAATATGTTTTATGAAATCAATGCATCTAACCATTCAAATATTTTACTGAACTGTTTGATGCTTTCCATACTTCAAAGTTCATAGACTAGAAATTGACTGAAATTAATTTAGGTTTTTAACATGGGTAATAATGTTATTCATAATTCTATCTAGTTTTTTTTCCGTTTCCGCACGCTGTTTTAAAAATGAGTCCAAAAGACACACACCGCTATCACATTTTTTGTTCTCGTTGAGTGTAATAAACTTGTGACCTTTTTTCTTCTGTTGGGTCTGCGTTCTGAACTTGTGTAGTTCCAATGACTATGCCTAAACATTTTTTGTGTACAAATACAGATTTTTCCTAAGTCTATATAACAAACTTTCCGGATTCATTACTGGCGGATAAACGTTTCAAAACATTTAAGTACTGACGAAAAAATTTGATAAGGCTAAGCTTGAATAAAACTGTGAAAAGGGGAATTTTATTTAAAATTTAAATCATAGAAATCTAAATCATAGGAAAATTCCCGTTTGAAATTCTATTCAGATGATGCTATTCAACATGAAAATATAAATATTTGCTTCCTTAAGAGTAATTTCTTCACATCTCCCGATCTGTATAGCTTCAGACTTCTCCTGTGCCATATCTCTCTGCTATGCAATAGTTACAAGCGCATTTGCCGATATTGGTCCGCGCGCCGTGCGCGTTGTCAGCGCACGTACGCGACGCAGTCAAAACGCAACGCGTCTTCTCGCAAGCGGCGCTTTGAGCTGAGTTTGGGCGCTTAGTTATCATTATGATCCTAATCTTTGTCGAAACAATATTTGTATATTCTCAGTGTATTTTTGAGAATGGGTTCTTATTTTTGGTTCAACATTGTGTACCTCCTATTTTTTAGACTAGCGCGACAGTCTCTTTTCGGAACTTTCACATTTTTAAAGTGAATGTTTTCATAACGTTTTAACATTTGCTAGACTTAGAAATGCCTGTTATAGGTCAAATGAACGCTGACAGCTTTGAAATTTTTTTAAAAAGTTTCTTAACAGTTTTAGTAGCAAACATTGAGTATGTCAAGAAACATCCTCTGAAAAGTTTTCGGTTTTTTGAGTTGAAATTACCAAACAAAAAAACACACATTTCATTGAATTCCTTCTAATAATAATATTAGAATCAACTAGAACTGCATATGATTTTCCATGTTATTTGTAACGTACTTCTTCTCGTTGGATCAAGTTTCTCCACGAACAATCTTACAATGTCCAGTGTATCTTCGAAAATAACACTATTTTCCCATATGAAAGAAAAAGATTTTATATGAATGTCTGAACAACTTCTTCTTTCCTTTCCAATGATCGTTCCTCGTCTTCCTTACATCAGCGTCATGTCCCGTACGGGTAAGTTCAATCGTCTTCCTTTGTCTGTCTAAGTCTCTTCATTCTTTCTCACATAAACACCTCTCTATACCCCTATTTCTTCGAGCACGCACACACCACCACACAGACTCTCCCTCTACACATACGCACACACACAAAATGACTACTGCTGGGTCACCTCGAATGATCTTCATTTTTTCTTTCGCGTTTTTTTCGAATTGTTATTATATTTTCCTTCATCACAAAATTATTCGCAAGTTTTAACATTTTTAATTTTTAGGAGTTCGATATGAAAACCAGACAGCAGCTTCGTGAATCATCGTCTTCGTCTTCGGATGACATGAAGGTTGACATTGAAAAGCACAACTTTCTCACTTTTTTCAAAAGTCATTCCGTCAATCCAAATGAAACGATTCGAATTCCGGAACATGTAGACTTCTACCACCCAACGTACAATACCAAGTGAGTAATAATTTGTGTAATTTTGAGGAACAGATAAGATAGAAGTTGGCTTTTTATTGCCCTGGCCTCCCGTATTTCACAACAATGTTGAAACCAATTTTGATGTCAAATGGGAATTAAAAAATGGAATTCTTTCAGAACTTTGTAACCCATAAATTGGTTTCTAACAGAAATTGATAGTATTGCAAAGAACACATTTTGGTGATTATAACACCACATGGAAAAAATTAAACCAAATATTTAGTGGTTGTAACAGCCAAAGCAATACACCTGAAATTCACCACTACAAAATTCCAATTTCAATTTCTCAGGGGTGTCGCTGTGATTCCGGACTATATGGGAGCAGGCTCAGATGACCAGGAGTATATGGATAAAGAAGATCAAGAATCATCCATCTTCCTCGAAATGGATCCTGACAGTGTCCAAACCCACGAAGAATTAATAGCAAACATTTTTCAGTGGTCCAAACTGTCACTTGAAAAAGTAAGCCGACTCATCATATTTGAAAATATCATTTCTCGATTTTCCAGACGTTGCAACTTTGGGCGTTCTGCGAATTCGATGCATTGGACACAGTCGCCTTGATTGATAAAGTTTGCGAACCAGAACTTCTTCCGGCTTATGTGAAGGACTATTTTCAAGCGAGTATCTTGGAAGAAAGATTCTACCAATTGAATAAGAAGCATGAGGACATTCGTCGTTTCCATTTTGCATCAATGGTAAGTTACGGAGGATTATATTTTTAAAGAACTTTCTTGTTTCAGTTCGAGAATATTGTGGATAGCAAGATGCTGGTGGATCTATATTATAGGGAGAAGAACAAGCAAGTAGTGAACTGGCATCTTGAGTCCGAGAAGGACTGGGGTCCAAACGAAATAATTGATTTGGAGAAAAGGATGAAGAATTCCAAAATCAAAATTATCAGGTAAGACATTGATTTGGTTAAAATTTTCCAGAAAACAATATTTCAGTGTGAAAGCAGCGGAGAGTTGTAAGCGAAAGATGTGTGGTGGACTTAAGAAAAGACCACCACTGGCACCAAAGAAAACAAAAATCGAGGTCGATTGAAAAGATAAAGTATCAAGTTTTCTCCGGTTTACAACTATTTTATCTTTGCGGTATTTCCCCCCAGTTCATATTCACTGTCAGTGGTATTTCATACAATACAAAATTTTTTACATATCCAAGTCTCCTATTCTCGTTCTAAACATGTTCATTATTTTCTGTAGTTTCGTTTTTTTGCTAACCTCTCTGCACTTACTGTTCCCCAGATTTTCGTTGGTTTTCACCACTTCTCTCTCTCTCTCTCTCTCTCTCTCTCTCTCTGCTCCAAACGCCTGCTTTCGTACTTTGAAACTTTGTATTGTCGCCTTCATCTTGACACACTCATTATGACTTGTCACGGGTAGTCATCCTCACTTTCTTTCCTTTCACCACCTACGCTAATTTTGGAATATATTGCGATTTGAAACAACACAACATTGTTCTTAAATGTATTTTTTCCGATAATTTTATCTCTAATAAATGAAGAATGTGACGACTCACATGTATACATTTGGTTAAAAAAACAACAGAAATAACTGCAACATGTTAAGCTGATAAAAATTAGAACACTATATAAACATGAAGACAATGCATTTTGTGATTCCTGAAATGTTTCAGTCAAAATGGACGGAGAAAGATTAAATTGTGGCATGATAGAACACTTTGTTAAAGATCACTGAAAATAGGAAAAGAAGGAGTAAAAAGAAAACGAGCAGATTGTTTTAGACAGTAATTGAAACATCAGGGAACATGAAGTCCGGATAATTGATGGACTGTATCCAGAACTGAATTCTAGGAGTAGTTTTTTGCAATTAACGCTAAAAGGAACAGGAAAAATTGAAAATATTGGCATCAAAAGACAAGGAAGAAGACAAGACAAGAGTGTTCGGTTGTTGGGAACTGAGATTGGCGTGAAGGAAGATACCCGTCAATTCTCTTGTTTAGAAGAACTTTGCTCCTAAAAATCACATCTTTATCTAGTTGAATACTTTTTGAATTCACTATTTGTTCCCATTGATCTTGGAACCGGATGTTGGTCGATGAGACACTCGACTGTCCAATCTTAAACTTTCAAATTTTTTCCCGAAACACGGAGGAAAGAGTGGTTTTACCTGGTGATCGTTGTTGAAAGGGTCTGAAAAAATTCCAGAATGTGAACAGTTTGCGTCGATTAGTTGGAACGGCTGTAAATAATTATAGTTCTATCATATTGAAGAATTATTGATACTAACCTGGTTGATAAGCGCAGCATTTTCAAAATCGTCCATCATCTTGAGCTCGCCTGATGCTTTTTCTTTGACCGAAATTGATTTGTCTTCACTTGATTGATTAAGTTTCACATTTGCTTCAATCTCCGGCTTCACTGGTGGCTTGTTTTTCTTCTGTAAACTTTGAAAACAAAAAATAAATATCAAGCGACTTGAAAAACACGCACTTTGAAAACCTTGGCGATTGACTGGAAAAATTTGTTCTTCTTTTTTTCAGAACCGGATGGTGAGGATTTGTTGGACTCGTCAGTCATAGATTCGGTGTAATTGCTGCTCTCGCTGCTGGTCTCGTTGGTCAGAACCTGGTATTCTGGTCCCTTAAAATGAGAGTGTCGATCTTCACTTAAATCGTAGTATATCTATTCTGAGTATCCATTTTGCGTTTTTTTTTTGAGATTCAAACAGCCTTTCGCTTGTTTCATTTTGGAAGTTAATATACTCTCTAGAAGTTAAAAACTTCTGTCAAGAAGAGGCGACCTTGAAATTGAAATTTGTCGAGAAGAATCTCAAAAATTTAATATGAAGATTCGAGAAATCAGAAATTCTAATTAAAAACTTTTATTGTTCACCTTTCGACATGTCAGAGTCATCAGACGCCATGGATTTTCCTCATACATTTAGAAATATAGAGTCTATGTCTCAGAAAAATTCAACAAAATTTGTATCGTGAACCCAAAGGATTCTTTGGGTCAAGACATTTTTCATTGTGTAATCAGGTGGCATTTTGAGAATTATTGTAAAACATTTCGAGAAAAATAGACAGATGGAGTCAGAACAGTTCAAATAAGAGAACTTACACCAAGGAGCTTTTCAAAAAAAAAAAAATTCAAAATTATATTCGAAAATGAGAAAGAGATAGTAGAATAGCGAATGGTATTAGGAACTCGACCATATAACCCACATCCTGATTACTTGAAAAATTCCACATTTTTAAAGACGTTTTTTTTCAGAATTCTTGAGTTTTTTCTCAAGCTTGTCATTTTCAAAATTGTAACAACTCACATTATATACACTGATACAATCCTCATCAACGTTCAAATAAGATTCCACCGAATTTTTTCTTTTAGATTTCCGATTCGGCCATTTCGATCTGTAAGGCATGTTTTACCTGTAATTAGAAAAGTTCTAAACGGAAATTATTATTTTTGTGAGTTTGTGAAAAACCACAAATACTCGAATTTGAGAAATTTTGAATTGAATTGAAAAAGTCCTGTCAGATATCTGTGTGTGGCCGCAGATATTTGGACGGGAGAGCACTCTACCTAACAAGTTCAAACTACCAGGGACCGAGAGTGAATCGTAAAATGGTTTTCTGACGCTGAGAAAAAGGAGAGGAAAATTTGTAGGATGCAGCAGCAGAAGATCCTCCTGACTTGCCAATATAATCGAAATGATTTGAAAGCTTCTTTAGGATTCTTTCCTTTTTTTTCTGGAAAAAGGATTTGTTTTATGGTCCAAGGAGGGAAGTGCACATCTCATTTTTTTCGACCACATTTTGCACGATTTGTAGAAATCCTCGTGCAAAGTCATATTTTGGGAGGAATTGAAGACAAATAAGTTTATTGTTTGTAGTTATCAGGAAAGCGGTACTGTGAGAATAACAATTATATGACAAGGGATAAAACTTCAGGAGGAAGGTTTCGAGAGAGTTCGTACATCTTCCGACAACATCCAGAACACATCTCGCATTGTATTTCCAGAAAAAAAATTAGGAGAAGCCTGGAACCTCCAACCTTTGTAATCGCTTGGATTAGAAGTTGAAACATAATACATGTCCAATGTAGCCCAGCTGGCACCATCTCCAACAAACTGCATCTGAATTTTCTATACTTCAAAACCTTCAATTTGAAAAATAAGCGTTCTCATATTCCATCACCGTCCACCTGCAAAATAACATTCATCTGCCAACATTCAACTTTTTTCATGATTTCAAAACTATCTTGATTTTCATTGAATTCAAATTTCCCTCCCTGAAAACTCGACAAAAATTATTTTCTTCATGTCACAAAGCCTAATTCATCAGTTTTCTCTGTGCGCTCTCTGTGTGTGCGCGCGCATTACAATCTGTGATTTTGCGTCCATGTGTGTGTACACTATTGTCCGCAAATCGAGCGTCGTTTCTGATGCTTGAAGACTATTTTTGCATTTTAACCAATTTTCTCTATTGAAAATCAAATTAATGCTTCAATAATCCGTGGATAGTTTATTTCAGATTTTCCGTTATTGTCTCAACGTGATTTCAACAACTGAAGGTTGTCGGTGGCGGTGAGTGAAACACTCAAAAACGACAAAACGAGTTTCGGGATATTATTCGATATCGAATAGGTGAGATTTTGATATTAATAACAAGAATTTCAATTTGATAGAAACTTGTTGCACAATATAAATTGCATTGAAGAGCACACCGTAAATAAATAATTTCCGACAATTTTCGGGACAAGTTCTGGTTCTGGAATTGTTTCTTTTGTTTGTAAAGCGGCAATTAGAAATACCTCCGAACGAGTCATCACGGGTTGCTAGTTTTCTTTGGTTGAACTTCTGTGAAACATCATGAAGCTGAACGTTTACAGATTGGAGCAACCCACGATGATTGTTATTGACGATAGGCTGTGAAACTACTGATGTGAATGGATTCCATCTTGGTCGACGGTATTATCGAATGCTATAGCCGCTGGAGACACCGAATGACCGAATAAGGTTGCCATTAGTGTACACACTTTGTCACAAAGGCAATCGAGGAATCCTGGATCCTGGATGTTTCAAGTCCGTTTCAGAGAGAATGAGAGTAAATGCATTCACCATGCAAGATGAAAACATCTGAAGCGCGATGAAACAACAGCAAAGAAGTAAACAATCCGAAGCATCAAACGCCGAATGGAGTACAATCAACCATTCAATCGCTTCTATGAGACTTCACGAAAATATTGAACTCTCTGTAGATTCGTGCTCAGTTCTGCATCAGAATCGGCTCAACGTGTTTTATCTCTTTGGAAATCGAATCCCACTTCATATTCGCCAGGAAACGGAGATGGTCTATTCGAGAAGAAAGAATAACAGTGGATTGAACAAACGGAATAAGAACATCAGCAACGGAAAGCATTCAACCCAAAAAAGACGACCATCAGAAATGTTGACAAAGATATAAAAACAACTGGTAAGCCAAACCCCAGAAGCAATAGCCATATTAATATACTCGACCTTTTAGGCACTCAGCTCTCTTTGGACGATCAGAAACGTGATTTTTTCGTTCGAGTCCCTGCTCGAATGAACTGACCATGCTGAAGCGAGTGGGACCTACTTTGGGCTGTCCGACAACCGAAATTCAATGAAGAACGCAGAAGAATGGTAAGACAAAAACTTCAAAGACTTCAATATTTTTCCCTTTTCTAGTTACCAACTGTCAACGACATATATACGACATTATGAGAGTTCCTTTCAAGGAAAAGAGGAATCTGGAATTTGGCTTCTTCGTTCTGAATCACGTTCCTGAGGTTGATACCTGATTCCTGTTTACTGTGGCTCATTTGATAACATAAAAACATAATTGGTCAAATCCGGACCAGGTCGGGCCGGGCCTGAGAAATCTAAAACTTCCGCTTCATATTGCCCGGTCCGTAACCAAAACATGATGTAATTCATACGTTTTTTCTGAGAAAATCTGGAGAAGACAATGATTTGGAAAGTCGAGAGCGATGAGAAACATGGGAAAGCTCTCGAATTTGGTAGAAATTTTGTTTGATTTGTTGTTTTCTTGATCATTCCCGTTGTGTATCAGAAATAAACCTAAATATTAAATTTTTATATGCTTCATCTTCAAACAAGACAGACTTGGTCAGAATGGGATTCTCCTTGTTTACCGCTCTAGTCTAATATTTTTCTATTGTTATCCTCTGTGTCCTCACGATTTCCCGACATACTAGCACCAAAAACACTCCGCTCCCTCCTTACCGAGTTATCGCCTCCGCCCTTTTCCCTACTATTTCTCAAATTTCTCTCGCTTCTCTTCCGCGCCGTCGCTCGTATTTAAAAGACATAGTGCCTTTGTACACCCAGCGGTCTCGTGGTGTAGTGGTTATCACATCTGTCTAACACACAGAAGGTCGGTGGTTCGAGCCCGCCCGAGATCATGCTTCTTTTTTGTTTTTTTTGTTGAGTTAGAAGGTCTATTAGAATTTTACGAGTGAAATTTATTTTTTTTAATACAAGATTCATCCGGTGTACATCAATAACCGGGAAGGAATATAAAGTTACACAAGATAAATACGAAAAAAAGACGGATTAATAAAAAATGATGGTTGACTTGCCCCTTGAACATGTTGAAATTTTTAAAGTTAGTTGAAGAAATGGTCCAAATCGTCATAATTTGGTGGTGGTTGATTCATTGGTATTCCGGCAATGTTTGGAGCGGCTCCAGCGTTTGCTGCGTTTTCGGCAGTCCTGAAAAACATAACAAACATCAAAAAGTAAAAAAAAGCTTACCCAGTAGTCTGTTGTCCATTGTTTCTTCTCTCACGACGGAACTTCCCATATCTCGTCTCATAAAAGTAAATTCCAGCACAGATGCTAACGATAAGAATTAAAACCAGAGCAGTAAGAATGTAAGTACGGGTGTATGGATCGTCGGAGTCTTCGGACGGATATTGGGCGGTAACAGTGATGTGGAAACCGCGGTCAGAGTTGGACATATCAGTTGTGAATGTGATGAGGATTGTGGTAGTCGACACATTCAACACTTGATGGCGCACACGGCCGGAGTATCTGTAAACATTTCGAATGTTTATAGAATTTTTGACACCTGATTTCTTACTCTCTGATCAAGGCGGAGTCAGTAGTGTTTCCTTCGTAGATTTTAACATGATCATGATAATTTTCAATGCTGATTTCGTCAATGCTCAGAGCCATTCTGCTTCTGGAAAAGGAGGAAATACATGTTTTCTATTACAATGTACAGTATCGGTCAAGATATACAAAAAAGATCCAAGATTACATGAAGAAGGGTACAGTACATCAAGTTCCTACGGTACATTGGTTAAAGCGTACATGACATCTTGGAATGTAGGGCGCTTTAGTCTGAAGTGAGTCTATCATTTTGAGCAAAAAGAAAAAAGTTTGTAAGATTTTTTGAATTTTTTGTCATCTCCCACAAAATCCCATGTACTCTTGGAACTAATGTACGCTAAGAACTAGAAAATATACCATTTTTCGATGTACCCTCGGAAACGGGGGCCCTAGATGGAAAACTTTGCGTTAACCGAATTTTCGAAAAAACTCCTAGTTTTCTAGGTGTTGCCGATTTCCATATGACACTTCCTCTTTTGTGTTGTCAATACAAAAACTGGCAAAAAAGGCTTCCTTCAGAAATCTGCAAATAGCTGAAATACAAGGAGTTTTCGAAAAATTTTGTGAATGCAACGTTTCCCATTTAGCCTGTTTTACACCCTATAATGTTTTCCGACCACTTGATCCGACTATTTGACAGCCAAGCCTCCTGAAGATTGCCAAAATCAGCTAAAAAACACGTTTTTGTATATCCTATTGACCGGTACTGTATATATGTAAGACACACGAGGGAATTTTGTAAATTATGGGTTTTTGAGGAGGAATATAGCAATTTCAAAACAAAATCTTAAATTCACACAAAATTCCCTTATGTTTGTAACAAAATACCCCTCTGGAACATCAACTATGAATTGGCACTCTTGATTGTTTTGATAAAAGTTGGGAAATCCGGGACTATTCACAATCACAGGTTGATTGAAGTCAGCTGTCAGATACACCGGATCGTGACCACACTCTTGATCTACAGTACTGCATTTTAGTTACATCTTTTGTGTCATTAACTTACTGTTCTTAATAAGAGTGTAATTGAAAGTTAGAACAGCATTTTCTGTGGCATTGGCATCTTTGCGCCAGTACGTGAATGAGGTATCTTCACTAGTCTCGTATCTATTCCGATGGTTTAACATCATGGAATTGTAACTGTAATTACAAAAAACCATTAAATCTTCCTTTAAAAGTCACGGAACTGTTCTTCGTTACGTTTATCTCTGAGAATAACAACGTCTCCGTATGTAGCGCCTTTGACTTCAAAATCTAATAGAGTTCTTTGATAATAATGATTGCCCTGGAATACAATCGCGATTTGATATTGACCCAGAAAACTGAACGAAAAAAAAACATACCTTAACGTCGAAATTGCAATAAATATAATCACAAATCGCAGGGAAAGAGATGGTAAAAGTTGTATCCATTCCGATAGATTTGTCTTTAAAGAAGTTGCATGCGCAGTCTGAAAAGCCTCTCTTTAAGCTGTCGAAAAGGTTTGCGCTATCTATAAATCTTTAAGAACCTGCATAGATCCACCGATTGGTGACATTCACTTCCATGTATCTCTTATACAAATCCCGACTTGACTCGAGTTCCACTGTAAGAGCTTGTTGCTTGATCACGAAATTCTCTTTGATGTACCTTGAGCTACTTTTATATCGAGAGGTTCTAAAATCAAAGATTTTCGAAAGCCTAGACTGTTTTTGGCTCACCCGACGAAAACCTTGTAGTCACTTTTCAGCGAAAACTCGTCGCTGGTACTGAATAAGCCTTCGACGGATAATTCGACGACTCCAATTTTATTTTTATCCTCGCCTTCTTGATCGTCGCCAACAAAGCTTAGCTGGTACGTGCAGTGGCGACTTGGGCATGACAAATCTGGATAGCCAGGACCACGGATAGAAAGGTAGGATTGGTTTCGGACATCCATCGTCAAAGTTGTTTCTCCACAATCACATGCTGTAAAGTATAGCGCATTGAAACTAACAAGGAGTTTAAACAGATTTTTATGGGATATTTAGGATATGTTACGTAGAGCCTATCTAGACACCTCTTGAAATTTTAAAATCCGCTAGCTAGTTTCAGCCAAGTTATATCAGTTTCAGCCAAGTTATATCAGTATGAAAAAATCGCTCTTTCAGTGCAAAAACACTAACTTTAATCTAATTTCTCGATTTTTAGATAGTTTCAAAGCATGAAATGTGCCGTATTATACTTAGAATCAAATTCCATTTTTAAGTTTCAAACATTTTCTACAAAATTATTTTTTTAGTTTTCTAACTTTTTTTCTAGATTTATTCGAAAATTGAAAAAAAATGTTTGAGAAAGTTCTGAAATAACAAATATATTTGCTAACTCATCGATTATTCGCTAACTTTTTGCCATCATCGCCATGTCTGCCATGGCGCCTCCGGCCAAGAGGAAATTTAATTCGAGCCTGGACTCCGAGCCTTTTTGGTTCTCCTCGTTTCTCTCTGGTCGAACGTTCTCTGTCAAAATCTATGATTTTATTGGACCCCCTTCCTCTGTCATTCCCTCTGGTGTTCCTCAAGGATCAGTCTCCGGTCCCTTACTATTTCTCATATTCATCAATGATCTGCTCTTAGAACTTGAACAAATCCCCTCTCTTCACCTTGCTGCCTTTGCTGATGATATCAAATTGTATTCTCATGACCCAATCGCCCTTCAAACTGGTATCAAAATGGTTGTAAATTGGGTTACCGCCAACCATCTCCCTCTTGCCCACTCTAAAACTGCCCTTCTTCGCCTAGGTTCCCATAATTCTTCCCATCCTCTCAATATTGCGGGTGTCACACTTACTCCCTCCTCCTCCGTCCGGGACTTGGGACTCATTACTGATTCCTCTCTCAAATTCTCTGCTCACATCAACAAAATCACATCTTTAGCTCTTCTCCGTTCCAAACAACTCTTAAAGTCATTTAGATCTAAGTCTCCAGAATTCTACATTCATCTTTTCAAATGTTATGTTTTCCCGATTCTTGAATATTGTTCTGTAGTTTATTCTCCTCCGCCATCTTCTCGCCTTGCTCTAAAACTAGAATCTCCTTTAAGATTTTTGTCCAAGTGTATTTTCCACCGTTGTAATATCCAGTACAGTTCCTATTCTGATCGTCTCTCTATCCTCAATATGTTCTCCATTCGACATCGTAGGCTAAAAGCTCAACTAATTCTTCTCTATAAATTTTTAAATGGCTCCGCTACTTTCCTAACCTAAATGCACATGTCAAATACTCCTCCTCCCCTCGTCGCCCTATGAACTTAATTATTGTTCAGCCCTACTCCTCTGACTATTTTTCTTCAATTTTTCCCCTGTGGAACGCCATCACTTCCCAAGTTACCCGATTTCTCCTACCTTCCGAGTTTGAATCCTTAATTTCTTCCAGTATTACCCGTTATTGATATATTTGCTCCCCTATTTTTCTTTTTCTACCGGTTACATCTTTCCTGTGTCAAATATCTAAATTATCCCGTTTCCCCTCCCCTACTCAGATCGGCCTCGTGAGGGGCATTTTTTCTGAGTCTTTCATGTCCTGCCCTCTAATGTTTTATTACACCTAATCAATAAACAAATTAAATTGAATTAAATTAAGTTGAGAAATTTTTTTTTACGATTTTTAATACTTCAGTATTATAAATCGTTAAAAAATGTTTATATAACTTGGCTGAAACTGACTAGGTAGATTCTAAAATTTTCAGAGGTGTCCCGATAGGCTATTCATGTATCCTGAGGTTTTTATAACGATCTGAGTTTACAAGGTGTTCTCTGCAAGCCTTACTTCGTTTAACAAGTCTCGCGGTGATTTTTGCCATCTCATACGCTTCATCACGTTTAGATATTCTATGAGAAATAATTCGAATATCTTCCGCGTCCATCATGAGCGCCTTTGAATATGAACTTCTGTAATGTTTCTACCTTGTGATGTCATATCATAACAACTCACGAAAAAACATTTTTCAATTTACCCGACGCATCATGCGCTTTTACAGTAACCTCGGTTTCCACACTCTGATAAATTTGAATAACTATCTCGTCACCGTCAGTTTCCCCATCGTGTTTTTGAGCTTTCAGCTTGTAGACGCAGCCTGAAGCGTGCTCGAATTTATGGGCTCTTTGAATGACTGTTTCCTTTTCTCCGATTTCTACGATCGGGTAGTCACAGGGTTCTTTCATTTCTGAAAAATTTCAATTTTAAAATATAAAAAAATGTTCAAAAATACCATCATATCTGTCGAAAGTAATTTTGAACTTGGTGTGGTAATACCGCTGAGGATGGCTGATGAAATGAATTTCAAATCCAGCACTTCTCGCAGAAGCAAAACTTGCGAACTGAGAATCGCTGGACGAATAATAGTAATTGACATGTCCTTGGATTCTAAAGTTACATAACTTTTTGAATTCTCACATACAGTACCTGTCAATAGAATATACAGATACATGTTTTCAGTTGATTTTTGACCATTTTCAGGAGTCTGGAGCTCGGCAATCCGGTTTTCTAACACTTTGAAAATTTTGATGTGTGCGAAACAGAGGTAGATTGAAAACTTTGCATTTACAGAATTTTCGGAAAATTCCTAGTTTTTCAGTGATTTGCCGTCTGAAAAACATCCCTATTGAACCGTTTCTGTATTGAAACCGTGAAAAAAGCAGGCGTCATTTAGAAATCAAACAATGAGCTGGAAACTATGATTTTTTTTAAATTCTGTGTGTGCAAGGTTTTAATTCTGTTTTACACCCTCTGAAGGTTTCAAAGTTCACCGACACTTGACAGCTAAGCCCCAAACCCCTGAAAACTCTCAAAATCATTTGAACACACATTTTTGTAAATTGTATTGCTCGGTACTATATTTTTTTTCACTCACTTGGCATGAAACAAACGTTCGTAGCCGTCATCTGTCTTCAAAAGACTGTAAATGACAAGATAAGTGTTTTCCGTTATTTCATATGGGGAGGTGTACAATGTGACAGTTTTGTCTGCTTTTGGAAGAATCTGTAGGAATTTGACTTATTCCATTTCTGAGATACTAAGACTTACTCTATAGATGCATTTGCCTTTACATGATTCGAAACTTGGATAATGAGGAGATTTGATGACTCCGTAGTTTTCTTCTGGCTCGTATACTTCTATTTCACAGCTGCAATTTCCACGATTTTCATTCCAAGGTATTTCGTCGACGACGTCACTATTAAGACAACGGAATAGCAACACCAGCCAACCAACTGAAAGAAGTATTATAGAAGATACAAATTGTATTCTTAAGCCTCTCTACAACTATGGAAATTCACTTACAGGGTCAATATACAAAAACAAATTTTTCAGTTCATTTTTGCCCATTTTTACAGATTTCAAAAGTCTGGAGCTTGGCTGTCTACTTGCCGCTCAATTTGAAAACTTTGGAGAACGTAAAACAAATCATTATTAAAGTCTGGCATTAACAGAATTTTCCAGAAAAATCTTAGTTTTCCAGATAATTCCTAATTCCTGAAAGACACTCTTTTTTTGCCCTTTTTGTAATGACGATGTGAAAAACGGGTGTCCTTCAGAAATCGACAAGAAGCTCAAAAACTAGGAATTTTCCAACTATACTGTGTAAAGGCAAAATTTTTATTCTAGGTCCGCTTTAAACCCTCGAAGTTTTCAAAATGATCACAAACTTGTAAGTCGAGTTCCAGACTCCTGAGAATGATCGAAATCAACTTCAAAATACTTTTCTTCATATCTTACTGGCACATTTTCTGTATTCTCAAGTCTCCTTACGACTTCGTGAACTTACTTTTCCCCGAACTTAATTAAATGCTTATGAGTTTGTCTAACTACATGTACTTCTCAAAAAATAAGTGAAAACTCACCAATAATCCATAACCTCATCGTAAAGTATAGTCGTCGACCATGAACGCAATGAGGAATGACAGGGAACTTGCAAGAAGGCGTTACATAAACAATAACAGTCCCCCGTGATGACAAAGTATTCATTTACAGTATCCCGTTACCTTGAAAAACGTGACCTAAACAAAATCCGAGTTTATGAAAACTATCAGATTCCATTTTTTTTCTCTGAAAGTAATAAACAGATTTGCAGATGGTCTCATCGATGGTCTGATGAGTAATGCTTCCAGATTGTTTAGATTTACAGTAGAAGTGTTCTTGCCACCTTTTCTTTTTTCCAAAAGATCGAAAATTGAAAAGAAGACCTCAGAGACTTCTGACATACGATGAATCGGGAGGGTTACTTTGATAATCGTCTCCAAGATTTTTGAACAGTCAATAAACGTATTTGTGAATTTTTAAGCAATTTTTCCATATTCTGAAGTTTGCAGCTCGACTGTCAAATTTCGACTCGCTCGAAAATCTATGAAAGGTGTGAAACTAGATTGAATTTTTGGAAATTCCTAGTTTTTCAGCTATTTGCCGATTTCTGGAAGATCATCTTTTCGGCCAGTATTTGTACTAAAACGTGAGAGAGAAAGTGTCTTATCGACAGATAGCAAAATTCCCCGATTGTAAAGTTTTCTATCGAAGTCTCTTTTCCACCCTCAAAATGACCGAAACTTGACAGCCGAGCTTCAGACTCTTGAAAGTGGTCCAAATAGCTAAAACTCAACAGAAAAATACGTTTCTGTGAAACATTCTAAAATTACTTCTAAATCTGAAAAATCTGAAAATCCACAAACTTCTTGTCACTGTAGCTGCATGAAAACTATTTTATTGCAAAAAACTAAAACTACAACATCTTCGAACCAATATTGGCATTTCTCACTTAAAATCAAGAAAGTCATTAACAATTTGTTTAATGTTAATTTTTTTGGTGAACTTTTTGATATCTTGCCAAAGATCCCCCAGCTTTTTTGCGCTCTGACAGTGCCCGTCACAAATCTGAAAAAAGTTTGTTTTAGTTGTTCTATTTTTAAGTATCGAACCTTTGATTTTGTGTTTTTGAGCTTGGAGGCCGGGGATGTGGTCTTGTGGCAGGATAGTTTCTCGGAGCTGTGACAGTCCGACAAGATTGCCAGTTTCCTTTCGAATTGTTCAAGAGAGGTGCAATTGAGATGTGGATTTCCTTGGAAGTCGATTCCTTGAAGATCGGGAAAAGACTTCATGATCAAATCAACATCTGGGACAGTTATGATGTCATTGCATGTCAGTTGGAGGAAGTGGAACGATGTCTTTGGGTTGGTTATTGGTAGGGGGAAATGGGTCATGTTGGCAGAGTGACATATGATCGTCGGGTTCTCTGCTGTTCGGTCACAGGTGCATCCTTGGAGACAGTTGACTGGTGCTGTGCTTCCTGGAAAATCCTTTCGTTTGAATCAAAAACCAGTCGCTATTTTTTTTTTGAAAGAATTACCATGCTCTTAGCTTGTTTGAATTCTTGACCACTTTGAATAGTTAATTCTTTGAACTACTGTGTTTTTAAAGAAAAGACTATGTATCTAATAACTGCTTAGAAATCATATTCATGAACATTTTGCTAGGAAAATTGTTTTTTGTTAGAAAATCAACTGAAAAGGCGTGAAAAAATGAAGGGGGATCGTTTTCTCTTTAGAAAATCCTCCTACTTCATGGAAAATGGAATTCCGTTTAATACCCACCCTCAATTTTAAAAATTGTCTTATTCTAAAAAAGTAATGTGATTAAGTGCATTAGTTTATATATTTCAATCCAAAACTTGCTGCTCTTCAACTCAAAAATTATGTTTTTTTCAACGCAAATGGCGTGAAAGAAATGAGCAAAAATTTTAAGGATTGTGTCTAGAAATTAAAAGTTTTCATTTCGTAATTTAAGTAAATTTAGATTTCAATTCATTTTCTAACTCTACGAATTGGTAAAACATTAAAATAATGTTCAGGAATTCTGATATGTTTCTTATAAGATTCAAAATAGACTAACCGAGTTTGGTGCATGCCAGAAGCAAGAGTAGTGGGAAGAGAATTCTGCGCCTCATGATTCGGTGTCGAATGATTTCGGATTCGTCCCGAAAACATGGAGGAGCTAAGAGAGGGCGGAGACTTCAAGAAGTCCATTTTAAATCTCATAAAAAATGAATGGTTATGAGAAACCTTAGAATCTTCGAAACTTAGAGAAACGATGACTCTAATAAAAATGACTAGTCTCGAGAAACCGAAGAATCTTTGAAACTCAGAGAAGCGACTGTTGACGCCACCTGTCTTGAACGAAAAAAAAACTTCTTGGAATCTCAAAAGTGTTTCGGAACAAAGTTCAATGAACCACTTGGTTTCTGACAACCTAACAAACTTCTGAAATACAAAAAAAATAATGAAAAAGGGTAGGGCTGTTTGATAAGTTGATGTTAACGGTAAGATATCATACTGGAATGAAAGCCAAATGCGCATTATATAGTTGGAAAAAAATTCAAAAACATTATGTCCTACACTGATCTTCCCACATCTTACGCCACGATGATAATTCATTGAAAATAGAACACAGTATTTTATCTAATTGTGATTTGAGCCTATAAATCATAAAAAAGGACCCTCCGAACAAATGTACATGCCTTGAAACAGTGTAAAAGTAGGTTCTTCTTTGTCAGGTCTTATAATTACTACAGAGCTTCAAATAATGAAAGGTTCACTCTTAAAAATTCTGGAAAATTGAAAAAAATTCTGAAAAATAGAAAATTCCAAAAACGGTACAAATGATAAAATTCTGATAAGTAAAACTCATACTTAACATTTTTTAGCTATTGATCCCTGTTTCCGCTTCATAGTTCTATCATTTTCGAGCAATTTTTAGGTGAAACTATCTTTTTTTTGCACATTTGTCAAATTCCGTGCCGGGTCGGGTCACCGGGCCATGGTGGGCCGGGCCGGATCAAAAAAAAATTGTTCCGGCTCGGCCCGGTCAGCCCGGGTAGCTGAGTTTTTGAAAATTTTGTCGAATTCCATCTCAAAAAATACTTTTTGGGATTATCCGATCTTACAAAAAAAAAATCAAAACTTGGATATTTTTTGAAAATTTAGCACAAACTTTGAAAATTTTCGAAAAACTTTGGAAATTCGAAATTTCAGAACCAAGCTGTCCCGGGCCGACAGGGCCAGAGAATTTTTCATTTTGACCCGGCCCGGCCCGGCCAATGACAAGTATGTTTTGTTTTGGAATTTAATATTTCCATTTTTGTTTTCTTCTCTTTCTCACCGTCCCAGTATCTTTTTTTCTGACTCCACTTCAAAGATCCTCCGCTCTTTCCCATTTTTTTTTGAGCTGACGTATCCTCTCTGTTTCTCAGAACTTCGTTTTTTTTCGATTGAAGAAAACAAAAAAGTTAAAAGAGTTTCGTCGTCCGCCAACATGTGAAACACAGAAGGAGCATCTGTCGGAAACGAAATTCTAGGAACTTTTTGTTTTTTTTTGTCGGTGAAATGCAGTTCTACTGACAGCAGACAGCTGGTCTTTTCTTCAAAGCAAGATCTCGTTTACTTTGAGTGTAACGGATTCTTGAGAAAGAGATTTTGACAAAAAAATCTGGCGTTGTTCGTTTGGCAAAGTTTGAAGGTTATCGGAAATCTGAGGAGATAAATCTTTTTCAGGTACATACATAAAATTGGGCGAGGCCAGGCCGAGCCGGGCCGTTTCGGACTGGACTTCAAAATTTTCAAGACCCGGTCCTGGTTCCTGAAATTCCAAACAAAATACTTTCGAAAAATTTGGGAAAATTGCAGAAATCTCAGAATTTTTTTTTAATTTTACAATCCAGACAAATTGGAAAATTATGGAAGATTTTTTTCGAAATTTCTAAATTGACTGTTATCCACTGAAAAAACAAACGAATGATGACATTTTTGTGGTATTATTATCAAGTTTCTGGCATTCTTGTCTTCGAAAACTAGATCCAAATTTCGGTAGAATTGTGATGAATGGTCTCAGTTCTATCTGTAAATATTCCAGAGGATCTTCCGTTATTTCTCCGGATGCTTCATTTAAAGTTCCTGTTCTATCAAAACGACTAGCACATTATTAATCTCAAGTTTAGTCTCAGGTTCCATCCCTAAAATCAAAAAAAAAGTTTGTTTGATTCAGGATTTTGCTCTTTCGATATGTCTATGATGTAATAATAAATTATTTACTCTACGAATTTCAGTTAGAAAACACAATTTCAGGAGTAGAATCATAATCCTAGATCAAATTCTGCGTCGAGTTAGTTTGTTTATCAAAAACGAACCGTAAATCAAAACCCTTTTTCGTCTAGTAATCAGAACTTTGGAATTATCTGCAATACGATCATAAATCTGAAACTGTCTGACAGAACTGAAACATAAGAATATATAAACTAATCGCAGATACGACCGAGCTACTCCGATTTGTTGCTCTTTAACTATTCAAGATGTCTATCACGGGGGCTGACAACCCATCCCCCGTGGTTGTCATCCTTTCTGAACCACCACCATCGCAGCAGGCGTTTGTGCCGCAACCAACTTGTCCAAGACCAAAAACCGCCAGGAACACGCGATTGAAAACTGCCAAACCAAATCCGGCAATTCAGGTTATCCATCCACCAAGCGACAAGCGTCCAGCAACTGCCAAAAAGGAGCCGACACCAATCGCTTCAAATGATATGAATAAAATCGTTGCTCAGCCAACCGGACCAAGACCACAAACATCCGACATTAAGTACGGACCACCACCACTACCACCACCGGTTAATGTTAAAGAAGATTCGGATTTGGACACTGAGGACGTCAAATGTACTCGATGGGTAGGATATCGAATTTTTGAACCCATTTCTATAAACCCATTTCAAGCTCAATTATCTCGGTTCCTACGAAAGGTATCAAAATTATGTGAACTGATGAAATGTTGGTGATACTATGATAAACAACATTGATCAGTTTAAATTATTTCGATATCTTTCGAAGGAACGAAATTAATTGAGCTTAAAGTGCGATGGCTTCTCAAAATGTTTAAAATGAGAAATTTCAGGGACCTGTTGTTGTCATTGGCGTTCTTGTACTCCTCTTGCTTGGATTTGCATCTTTGTTCTACATCTACAGCAACTGAATTAGACAAAAGTGTGAACCCCCTTGAAATGCGAAATTTTCGATTAAGAATTGTTGACCTCTTTGTTTGAAAATTTCATAAACATTTCTCTGTTAATTGTTTTTGATCACACCAGTTGAAAAAGTAGGACACCGGGTTAATATTTTGTACAATTTGATGAGATTATTCAAAGGGAAGTGAACCACCAATTCGCTGGTTTTTTCTTATGAACAACGAAGCAAAATTTGAAAATGGATGCGGCCGCGACAGTTAAAAATGCTGCAGTTTGGCCATCTCGCCATCTCGAATTCTATGTGTATTTAATTATGAGCTTGTAAATCTCTTCAACTTAAAGGCGCATGGGATTTTCAGCAACGGTATCGGCACGAAACCTTGTCTCAATGATGGGTATTTAACTTTTTCAATTGTATGCAATCTCAGGGAAGCAACTATTTAAGAACATATTGGACATTTTCAAAGTGGATAAAATCATCTTTCCGTTTTGGAGACGAATTCCCAAAAACTTATGAATTACTTTTTCAGGATATCGGAATATTCATCTTTTTCTACTTTAGGCCCTAAAATGTTCATATTCACTCAAAAAATCTCTTTCAACTACTTTAATATAACTTTCTGCATTTGTCAACTCATTAGTCATCGTAATGTCTAATTCGTCTTGTCGTGCTTCTTCAAAAGTATGCTGGCTCGCTAGTTATTTTGGTTCCCCGTAATGCCGCGTTCAAAGTTGATTTCCAGGAAATTACTCCTGGAAATCAACTTTGAACGCGCCATAAGAGAGTAATCTGCCGACGTGGACATTTTGTGGCAAATCATGCGAAAAGATATTAGAGTCGACAGAGACTTCCAGAAAAGATTTCTAGGAGAAAGTGAGTTTTATTTTTGAACATGTTGTATATCCTCTAATAGAAATTTGCCAAAACCGTCAACTTTGTGCTCAATTATCTTGTTTCCCTGTGGAATAAATTTGAATGTTGTCAACTAGTCAATTGTTGGTGATTATACGAAAGTAATTTGTTAATTGGCAAATTTTTGATACCTTTCACAAGAATGGAGATAATTGAGCTCAAAGTTGTTGATTTGGGTGGGCTTCTATTTGAGGGAACACGGTATTACATTATGTACAACATTACTATTTTGAGAAGAAACTGATTCAAATACTATTTGCATAACAAAGGCCGTGGGAAAGCTATCTCACAGGAATGTGGTAATTCGCCTATACTGTCGACCTACTTTATGATTATTTCATCTATTTAGTGCATTTCTATTGACTCGTTGTTGGAAAACTAGGCAACATTATTTGCGAACTACAGTAATCCCACCCATCATTTCATCACATTAGAAAGAAACGGAGACTCATTTCTTCTGACTCATACATAGGGAAATTCAAATACATCTCTTTCTAACCTTGTCTGTTTTTTTCAATTGGTGCCTTCTCAAAGCTCTTCCTTTTCCCCGCTTTGATGAAGAGAAATCGCAACCATAAATTTTCTTGAAATTCACGCGTGCACTCTTTTTGGCAATAAAAAACGACCGAGAAAGGAAACTGACGACACTCAAAATTATTCCTTTTTTCTTCTCTTCCCGTTTGTCTTGTGTGCCCTCTTCCTCATTTTTTTTTACTTTTTCGACTCTGTATTGATTTGTTTTGCAGGTGTAGGTGGACTGCTAGGCAGTTTCTCACAAATTCACAGTGATTAGATTTTCGGCTACAGTAATCCATAAAGAGGGTTCCGGATCACCTAATCCCAAAAAATGGAGACAACGACCAAATCAGAGAACGACCAACTGTCGATGGAACATGAATCGACGCCAGATGAAGATTCTGGATCTGCAAAGTTGCCGACTTTTCCAGCTACAGGAGCTATTAATTCGGAATCATCCATTGCTGAATCGGAGACAAAAAAGGAGATTCTCCTGCGTAAAGCACAAAGCTTCTACGAACGCTATCAAATCAGAGAGAAATCGTCGGATACCGATGAGGAATCCAAAAGAGCCAAGGAAAGGATCAAGAGAAGAGAGTCTCACGACAAAAAGCAAGATATTCGAATGCGTCGTGCAGCTAGTATGCAGTTGGCTTTGATTCGTTTTGAAGGTATTGGTCAACTATTAAAGAAATTAAAAATGTGTACTAATAAATTTTCAGGAGAGGAATCAGATGAGTCTTCGACCGAGAGATTTTTGGGATCGCAACAAGCACTGGAGCTTCAAGCGTTAATCAATTCAATTCGAATTCGTGGTGGGCAGCAGCAGCCATAATCATCATTAAATGTTCCAACTTTCAACAACGGGCAAACAAAATCTAAATTTGAAAAAAGTTTCTCAAAGTCTTTGGGGATTTGAAATGCTATAATGCATTACTATGAACAGTCTAATAGAAAACCACCCTATACTTGCCTTTGAGCTCATATGTCACTGTTCTTGTCACAGATATCGGAAGGTGATCAACTGACAAAATATTCATCATAAAATCAAAATCAGTATGTCAGTTGATATTTTTCTGATGACTTTCACATGAGCCGAGATAAATTGGCTCAAAGAACTCGTATTGTGATCTTCTATTAGAGTGTTTACAGTATGTCATTTATTTATTTTTCATTTTTACTAATATTTTTGTATAATGATTCACTACACATACTATACAAAATGTTTTTAAATTATTAATCTATAACACTTATTCTCATCCCAATTAATTCAGTTTAATTAAATTGTAGTAGCCATTACCAAATTCTCATTTTCTATATATTTTCTGAATATTGTTGACTTTCTTGAAATATAACACGTCTTGATTTGTCTTTGTCCCTCCTGACACGCCAGATACACAAGAAAAACAATTGGCTTCCATCCTTGCACTTTTAAACAGTTATGTTGTCTCTGCGTCTCTCAGTAATTGTTCATCTCTCTAAGGCGGTAATAGAAATGCGCGCGATCTTTGGAGGCCATTCATATTTGAAACTATTTATTCGCTTATTCCACTTGTCACTTATCAGCTTATTCAAAAACTGCTACTAGTGCGATGACCAAGAAAAGAAGTCCCGGAAAACCGAGAAAGGTCCTATCATCAACCACCTCTATAGCAAGACCGTCCAGAGGTGTTGGCCTGCCAAGAAGCTCGGGATCTTTGAGATCAGTTGATTCCTCAAGAACAGGTCAGTTTTTGTTTCTAAAATTTAATTTCTGGAAAACACATGTAATTCAAAACTTTTGAAACTCTGAATAACAAAAACTCCAGAATTTATAAAAAATGTTTTTTGAAAATGTGTAAAAATTTCGGAAATTTGAAACAAAGCTTTAACGTAGTAGAATTCGAAAGGATTTTCTAAAAAAAAAGTCGTCCCCGAAAAATTGTATTTTCACCGTTCTTGGTTGTCTGTTATAAATTTGAAAAAGTTCCAAAAATTGAAAATTCCGGAAATTCCGAAAATATTGGCGAATACTATAACTTTGTGATTTTTTGGGTACGGTACGGCACGATCTAGGGGCGCAAAATTTACAATCCGGAGCCAGGGATTTCGAGAAATTCCGAAATTCCGAAAATTTTTGGATATAATTTCAAAAGTGGAATATTCCGAAACTCCGAAATTTTCAAAATCAGAATATTCCGAAAATCCAAAATTTTGAAGTCAGAATTTTTGGAAAAATTGTCAGAAGGTCAATACAAACATTCCTCTCAAGCGAAACAAAATCCTGAAAAAAGAAAACTCCAAGTTTCTTCCGAAATCCCAAAATTTTAATAATTTCAAAGTTCCGAAATTCCGAAAAAAAATTGCGAATTATCGATTCAAAGGGTGCCTTGGAAATTTTTTATTATTATTTCTATTGAATATTTGCAAAAATCGATGTAGCGCATATTTTTTATTTTTCAAAATTTGCGGTTCTATGAGCATTAAGGGAAAATCTTACAACATTACAAGGATTCAAAATTTCTGTATTGCGATTTCAAGACGAAATATACTCACGAAAAAAACCGGCATTTCAATTTTTTCAGCTTCGGAATGGTCTATTTGCGGGGATTGCCAACGAGTTTTCTGCGATCAACATTCGAAAGCAGTTCATCAAGCCACCTGCAACGTCGTCAAGCAAACGTGCTTAATTTGCTATGAGTTTCTGGAAGCAAATGAAGTGATGAGAACTCATCTCGTTCAGATGCACTGCACTCAAGAAGAATTTGATGCCATGCAGAACGATGCCGTGGAAGATATTCTGAGAACCGGCAATTTCTCTTATGTGGATTTAACTCTTCCGCTAGTTTGGATGCGAATTGTGAAGAGGGCGGAAGAGATCGTCGTGGACAAGATCAAGGAGAACCTGGAGAAAAAAGCCAAGGCCGTCTAAAACATTTTTTTTTTTGGGTTTTTCTTCGATATGTTCAATGTTGGCTTTTTGAATTAAAAAAAATACTTGTTGAAAAATCAGCAACTTTTTTTCATATATGTTATATTGACATGATTGTTATCTTTCTGATTACTCTGCGATAATAAAACTTTTTTTCAATTTTTCTCGTTGAAAAAAAAATCTAAATTTCAGTTCAAAGAATTAGGCAATAAATCAAAGTCTAGGTACCTAGAACTTTAAAAACAGACGAGAACTCCCTGCCCTACATTTGTTCACTCATTGGAACTTTCGAAAATGCCTGGTGTGTTCTCTCGACATTCTTCTACCGTTGGCATCGTGCCGACCCCGGTTGTTTCTCAAAAAGTCAGTGCACAGCTACAGTATACCAATCCTCATTCAGTTCTAGATAAAAAAGAAGCTTCAAGTGGTATTTCTGATGATGCATGTTCCACAAAAGTGAGTTAAAAACATTAATGTTTGCGTTTCGCACTTTTTAGGAGGATAATTTTTATTTCGAATTACGGACTTTCAGGATATTATTCATTTCGTTTTTGAGAAGTCATTCTAGACATCTCTAATATGGTGTGAAAAAAAAAAACTAAAATGATACACTTCTTGCCAAAACAGCAAAAGTTTACAATATTTTTAGATTGGAATTGGAGTTTGTATCGTTCTGGCTTTATTCTTCGTCGGCTTTGTTGCAATGGAATATTGCGTTCTAAAGTGAACATTTTTGATCATTTTCGTTTTTTTTTTGTTGAATAATTTGAGTGATGCAAAAATTTTCATTTTTCAAAATAGTGAATCGTTTCTTGCTCACAACTTGTCTTCCTTTATTGAAATTCTCAACAGCTAGGCACATCAAGTTTTTATCCTTTCTATATTTTAAGAAATTATCGGGAGATCGAGCAAAAATATTCAGGAGACTTCTTGACAGAGAAAAGCCCATACAAAGTAAAAGCTAGGAAGCTACTTGGCAGACAGCAGCAAAAATGTAAAAGATCAAGAGAAGAGAGCCTCACGATAAAAGACAAGATATTAGAATGCGTCGCGACAAGATATTAGAATGCGTAGTATGCAGTTGGCTTCGATCCGTTTTGAAGGTATTTTAAACCATACTCGGGCTTTTTTCCGAATTTTGGAGGCCCGGCCCGGCCCGGTGGGCCCGTCACTTCACAAGTTTTCAAAATTTCAAAAAACACATAAGGGGGGACCCTTATGTGATTTTTTCGATCGAAATTTTTTTTCGAGTTTTTTCGATTATTTTCGATTAAACAGACAAGCAATTCAAAAAAACTAAAAAAATAGAGAAAAGTATATTGTGAGCTCAAAATTTGGCTCAAAAATACAGGTTTTTTTTGTACCGGGCCTTCCGGGCCGGGCCTGGGCCTTGAAAATTTCCTCAGGCCCGGCGCGGAATTTTACAAGTTAGTTTAAAACAGTTTGAAAAAATAGAAACTAACCTCTAGGAGAGGAATCTGATGAGTCGTCTACCGAGAGATTTCTTGGATAGCAACAAGCACGGTAGCTTCGAGCGTTAATCAATTCAATTCCGATTCGTGGTGGGCATCAGAAGCCATAGTCATCATTATATATTTCAACTTACAACCAGGGATGTTCGGAAAGACCTTTTCGGAATTTTTCGGAATGTCGAAAATTCCGATTTTGAAAATTCGGAATTTCGGAATATTCCGATTAAAAAATTTTCGGATTTTCGGAATTTTCGGAATGTTTTAAAATTCAAATTTTAATTTAGAAATTCCATTTTCCCATCACAAAATCGCAAAAAAACTGGTAAAAATTGAAAGAGAGATTTCGGCAGCGCAAAATACTATCAAAAGAAATCCAGTTTGAAATCTGCAAACAAATTAGTCATTGTCAGAAAATCTAGATTCCGAAAAAAAGCTTCGGAATTTCATTTCGATTTTTTTTTCTCGGAATTATTTCGGTCGGAATATCATTCCGAAAATGGTCGGAATTTTCAGAATCCCGAATTCAGTTTTGAACATCCCTGCTTACAACAACGGAAAAACAAAATCTAAATTTGTAAAAACCTTCTCAAAACCGTTGGGGCTTATAACGAATAACCGTAAACATATAAATAAAAGGTCACTGTAAGCCCATATATCTCATTTCGTGTAGCATAAATCAAAAGGTTATCAACTGGCGTGGTTTTAAAACGTCGTCAACATTTTCCGGAAAATAGAGGCTGGAAAACGATCATTTACCGGAAAATGTTTTCCATTTCGTTTTCTGCTTCTTGCATACGGAAAACGGCATTTTCCGGAAAACGCGTTTTCCAAGGAAAACAATTTTCCAAAGAAAACGGTTTTCTGAAAAATCATTTTTGCATACGGCTTCTGAATTTGCCCAGTCCTTTCCAAAACGTGAAAATAAATGGCAATAGTGTTCTCTCGACATTCTTCTACCGTAGCCATTGTGCCAACTACGGTTCTGTCTCAGGAACTCACTTCACAGCTACAATCTACTCATTTGGCTCCAGATACCAAAGCCGCTTTATCTGGAGTTTCTAATGATGCATGTTCTACAAGAGTGAGTTTGAAAAATAAATGTCCACGTTAAGGACCTCATGCTGGATTCCGGAAGAAACAATTCAATTCTGTACTCGTTTTTTGAAAAAAAAAGTCATTCCAGACAGTTCTGGTATTGCCGAAACAAAAAGCAATCCAGTTTTTTTTTCAGATCGGAATCGGAGTTTGTATCGTTCTCGCTTTATTTTTTGTTGGCTTCGTTGCAATGGAATATTGCGTTTTAAAGTGAAACTCGCCGTGGAGTAATCATTTCGAATGATGCTATTTGTATTAACGAATTTTTACATTTATATTTTGGATCAATGAATTTTTTGAAGTTTTAAAAAAATAGTTGCGATGGGGTGAAACAAGATGTAGAAAACATTCCATCCTAGAACTTCGTGAATGAGCGTCCGGCGCATGAAGTGCTATCTTTCTCTCTCTCTTTGCTCTTAAAAAATGATCTTTCAACCACGAGATTGATCTTTATCCAGGAAACATCTTTTATAATTTGTCTACTCCGAGATAACTTATTAGGTTGGCGGGAAAGTCTTTGTCACTTTTTCAATAGTTTATTTCTCAAAGAAAAAATAACCGAATAATTAATTATATTGTCCATCATTATCAACAACATGTCTCCAACGTTCCCTCAATTTATGGATTCCATTGCGGTAGAATCCAGCCGGGCGTGAGGCAAAGTATTGTTTGAGTGCCGCTTCGACCGCTCCACGGGAATTGAAGCTTCTTCCTTCGAAGGCACGTGTCATATCGCCAAATAACCAATAGTCGGAAGGAGCAAGATAAGGAGAATACGGGGGGTGAGGGAGAACATTCCATCCATATCCCATCAGCTCCTGCTTCACTTGTTTCGAAACATGTGGGCGAGCGTTATCATGTTGATAGTACACTTTCTTGTCTTTCAGGGCCGAACGGTCGACTGCTTTCTTGAGGTTTCGTAGTTGAGTAGTGTAGAGGTCTCCAGTTATTGTTTTGCCCTCGGGCAGAAGTTCCCAGTAGATGGGGCCGTCCACTCCCCACC